ATATATATATATATATATATATATATATATATATATATATATATATAATTTTTTAATATTTTTTTAAAATGCAATTAGTGTATTTGAATTTTCGAACAAAATAATTAGTTTTGTTAAAATCACTGCTAATGTTATTTTTCTTATTATAGCTGTTCATTTTTTTTCCTCTAACATGGTTGAGTTTGTCAACAGATAATGAGTAGATTTGTTTATTAGTCTAATTATACCTTTTTCAGCCTCAGATTGTTCCTGGGACGGTTCAGGGACGTCTTGTCTGTCCAACATCTAACAGAAAAAAATATACAAAAGACAAGAAGGCATGAAAAATAGCAATTAGTAATGAGTACTTTTTTTTTGAGTATTTAACCATTTACATGCATGTTAAGTACTTCACATAGACAAATCTAAAATTAAAACCTACATTAAATCAGGCAGGTAAAATGACAAAAGCAACATTGGAATGAAACCTGAAGAAAGGACATTTTTTAAGAGCAACATAATGAAAAGTGATGTAAAAAGGTGTTTAAAAAGCTCCATCTCATTGCTCTGTTTGTTTAAATCCATCAGCTGCGTGTCTGCAGGGTGAGGTGAAGGTCAGCTCAGAACAAAAGGGATTAGTGGGACTACTTTCTACCCAGTTGAAGCACCGTCTCCTGCATGACAGCAGACAGGTGGTGTCCTGTTTGACCTGTATTAGACAGGTCCAGATCATCTGTCCAGACTGAAAGATGTGACCCTAAACCAGATGTGTAGGACAAAGCCCGGCTGTCCTCCCTCAAAATAAAGGGTCACTCAAATAAAATGGGACAAAACTGACTTTGTGAAGTACTTTAGCTTCATATACTTCCACTGTGTCCAGGTTTGGTTTAACATAACAGAGATTGTACAACAAAATCAAATCACTTAAAAGTGTAAATAAAAAGAAAAGCAGCTCAGACTAGAACAGGTTAAAAACAGCAGTTTGTCACAATAGCCAATGTAAAAAAAAACTGCTCATTTGTTGCTTATTCTTTTAGGCTGTGCACATTTTTTGCTTGTTTTTTTGCACGTTGTCCAAAAACATGCATGTTAGGCCGCCCTCAGGCCTCCCTTGCAAAACAGTCTGTGACCTCAATGGGATTTGCCTCGTTAAATAAAGGTTAATAAATAATTCAAACAAAGTAAACTGCAAACAAACCAGACAGAAATAGTGACACAGGGCTGGTTCTCAATCTGAAGACCTGCCATTTGGATGTCTTTTCATTTAGTTTTTAACTTGTTGGCAGAAGAGAGAGCAGCTGTGGGCCTGACCCAGTTTACAAAGTGTTTACTTGGAGGGTTCCAAACACAACAAAAAAAAAAAATCCTCACACAATGCGTGTGGATAAAGTTACTATTATAAGTTTTGAATACTGACCGTTAAAGTCTGCTGCTCCAGCTGTTGGATCTTGGCTGTGGCCTCCTCTTGTTCTTGTGTTTTTCCGTCTAGTTGTTCTAAAAATCAGATATATTGATCAGTACTTCCATAAACGGCTTCAAGTTTGACAGCAGCTAAGAGAAAGGCAGATGAAGGCTCATACCCTGAAGGGTTTCCAGGGTGTGGGTGAGCTGGGTGCACTGTTCACTTCTTTGTCTGCATTCATCTTTCAGCCTCGTCAGGTGAGTCTCAACAAACTGCACAGCTTCCAGGAGCACGGACAGGTCAGCAGGGTCAGGGATTTCCTCTGGCAGGTTTTCCACATTAAGGGAACACAGACGTCTCCAAACTTCACCTAGAATCTCACTCTTATTCTGCATGCTCTCTCTCTCCTCCCTGAGAGTTACCAGCTCATTCTCTAGTTTCTCAACCTCGGACTTCTCTCTTTCTAACGTGTCCTGCTGGGCCCGGACAGCTGCAGACTCAGCTTCTCTCACCGAGGCAAGCTCGCTTTCGAGCTGAGCCATTTCTGCCTTGAATCTCTCTGAAGCATCTTTATGTGCTTGGACTGCAGCTAGCTCAGCCTCTTTCATCAGAGCCAGTTCTGCCTCCAACCTGGCAACTTCAACCTTCTCCATCTCCTGGTTAACACGCTCCGCTTCTCTTAGGGAGGCCAGCTCGCTTTGCTGCCTTGCCTCCTCCGTTCTGTCGTTTTCCAGGACTTCTAGGTTGGCTCTGAGAAGTGCGAGTTCTGCGTCTGCCCTGCCGGTCTGCTCAGCCCACTGCCGCCTTTCCTCCTCCCTCAGCTTGACGGCCTCAGTCAGGTCCTGCTCCATCTGCCGGAACTGAGCAGTCAATATCTGAGCAAGAAGAAAACGAGACAAGAGAAATATGGGCATTAATTCCAGTCATACCGTATTTTTTGGACTACAAGGCACACTTAAAATCCTTTAATTTTCTCAAATCAACAGTGAGCCTTATAATACGGTGCATCTTATGTATGAAACAAAATGGCTAATAAGGCGCAATATCAATGAACGGGTCTGTTTCACATTCATTTTACAAGGTTACAACACTTAATTCACAACCACTTAATCTGATTTACAAGCACAAAATATATATAACTGGAACGTGTGTCCATAAAGCAGTCCTTCTCAAATAGTGGGGTAGGCGATGCCGGGGGGTGCGTGACCCCAGGGAACATGCTTTTTTTGGATGGAGTACCGTATTTTCAGCCGTATGCGAAGCACTGCCTTATGAGTCGCATCAGTCCAAAAAAAAGTCTAAAAAAGTAGAAAAATCCATAAATATGTCGCATCTATTATGCATCACCGCTGACAACCCGGAAATGTGGGCTGGTGTTGTGACAAAAATTGATGGGCTGCCAAATGGCGGCCACGGGAGCGTCAACAGGAGGACTTTAACAAGAATTTAACAAAATTAACACTTAAAAACAATTATTTGTTTGCTAGAAATTATAGTAAATGTGTGTATCAATCCAACGTTTGCTTAATAAATGCACTTTAAGGGTCAAATCAGCTGTGCTTCAAAAATAGTTTTGTTGCCTCGGTGCTCCGTGAACGCGCAGAGGAAGAGAAAAGGAAGAAGGAACGTGGCTTGTTTGTCTGAAAATTAACAAGAAAAGCACCTAAACAATTATTTGTTTGTTCGAAATAACAGCAAAGGTGTGTCTCAGTCTAACTTTTACTTAATAAATGCACTTTTAGTGGACAAATTAGCTGCATTTCGCTGGGGCGGTGCAGCTGGTTTGACGGTCGGTCCAAGCAGTGAGCAGAATGAAGGTGGGGAGGTTATGGCAGTCCGATTGAGTCATTAATAGCTGTTGAAGATTCTCAGTCATCCAGGACATGGTAAATTCAAATAAGTTCAAGAAAAAAAAAACAAGAAAGTACAAAGTATAATAAATAAAGTCCAGCTGTTTTTGTCTTGAACGTTTTTGAATTAGTTATTATAGCCACATTTACCTATTACATGATACAACAGCATGCCATACAACTATTACTACTCTGCTGTTATCAAGTGGCTGAAAATGGTACTGCTCAATTTTTTCCCCCCAGTCAGAATGAATGAAAACGGTCATATCTCAGCCAAATAAATAGTTTATAAATATGGGGAAAAAATCCATAAATATGTCGCTTCGGCCTGTAAGTCGCAGGGTATGTAAATTATGAAAAAAAAAAAAAACACAACTTATACGCCGAAAAATACAGCAGTTCCCCCCCACCATTCTCATTGTGACAGGGTGCGTTTGGTAACCATTTGCTTGGATCCAGCAGCTCTCAGGCTGACTAATAATAAAGTTATGAACAAAATATGACTGCTTTGCAGTTTTGGGAGCCATGCTTGAACCGTGTCGCCCCCCTCTGCGGCTGAGACGATAAATAAATAACTCTGACACCTCCGCTGCCGTTTTTATTACGCTTGTCACTCACAGCACGCATGCAACAAAGAGTATAAACTCAAAGCGAGAGGGACATCTGCCCCATTTTTCCGCTTTTGCGTTGACAAACTGTTTTAGTTTTATTAATTGTCAAAGCACAATTTTGATGTTTTTTGTTGTTGTAAATACAGAAGTAATGTTTAATAAATGTTAGGACTCCATTCTTTGCTAACAAAATATATTTTATGTCATTCAACAACTCGGGATCTTCTCTTGTGAGCATGTTCTCCAGTGTTTTCTGAAATTCTGCCCAACTAGGCATGACATACGATCTAGACAAAAGGTGTGTTCTTTTCAGTGGAGGTGCATGTAAATATCATCCGATATGTAGAATAACGTCAAACAAGTTATTACAAGTAGCTGCAGAGCAGGCATGTAGAAAAACAGGATCTGTTACCTGTTTTTGTTGATCAGCGCTGCTCACTTCCTGCTGCAACATTTCCAGCTCCTGGGAGCGAGAGCTTAAGGCCTCTTGAAGTTCTTCACGCTGCTGCTGCACTTCCTGCAGAGCCTGCACAATATCAAATGTCCAAGATAGTTTAGTTTAAGTTAAAGCTACATTAATTAAACACCAAAAGAAGAACTTTTCTAAATTGTTCTTTTTATAAACCTAGATTGGTCCAATTTTTTTTATATAAATAAAACACTTGTAATTTATTAACTACAGTGACTATCTTTATATCTGTTTTAGTTCAAATTGAGATGTAGATAAATGTTGGTCATTTAACAGGATTTGTGATGCACTACACTGGTTCCACATTAAATCAGCTGCAACTTGTTTCGCTTTATCTGACAAAGAAAACATACAGTGCTCAAGGAAAGACCGACTGATTAGTACCATGGAGCTTTAAGGCCACGCTAAGGGGAAAAAAAAATTTAAAGCCATAAAATTACAAGAATAAAGTCTTAATTTTATGAGAATAAAGTTATACAAGACTTTTTTTTTTTTGCAGCCGTCTTTTTTTTTTCCACGAGTCGGATCCACGACGCGACCTGTCAATCAATCCAGTAGGCGTGTCAGCAAATGACCAATTCGAAGCTAAACGCTCCTTACCTGCAGAGCTGCGCTGCAGCCTATCAGCACATACCACCTTACTGTAAACAGGTTCAAAGTCCTGATACTGATAATAATCTGATGCTGATGTGCTGACAGATTAACTATCTCCTGATTAGTAAAACCAATACCTAAGTAAAACTTAACAAGACGCTCAACATTCTTCATTTTACCACAGTTAAAATGTGATAAACCTGCTTTATCTTGTTGGAGTTCAGATAATATTACGACTCAGTTAGCTTCAGATTGGTCATTTGCCGACACGCCTACTAGATTGATTGACAGGTTGGATTGTGGATTCGACTCGAAAAAAAAAAAAAGAGCACTGAAAAAAAAATCTCGTATGACTATTCTCGTAATTTTATGCCTTTTAATTATTTTCTTTTTTTCTTAGCGTGGTCCTAAAGCTCCGTCATAGATAAGGTCTCAAAGCACTGGCACAGAAGGAAAACGGTGGATTACAATGTATTATACTTTTTAGGGTCTATGGCGTATTGAGTCAAACCTGATGCTCCTTAGAGCAGGCAGTAGAGGTTTACACTAAAAAACGAGGCTGAATCAGAAGATTTTGACCATAATGTTCCAGTGACTCCTCTGATTTGGCCACACTGGTATTCCACTTTAAATCACACACTAAGAACAGCCTTAGTTTGGTTGGAATAAAAGAACAAAAGTGACATAATACGGACATTGTCTTTCTGACATTACAGCACATTTCAGTTTGAAAAGTGGCACATGATCCAGAGGAAAATATTGTACTTTGACCCATTTGATAGCATCTCATTAAGCTGCAACTCGTTGGGGAACAGCATTCATTCCTCCATATTGTCCTGAAATGTTTAGAAGCAGTTCTTAATTTCCTCACTCCAGTCACAGAGGCTCATAGAGGTTTGAATTTTTAACATGTTCAGTCTGTGTGACTTATTTTCTCCTAAAGTAGCTGCAGCATCATCGTCTAAAACTCGACTCGTTTGCAAAAACTGGTCGCCCCATATGCAGTTGCATGGCTCGCTGATTGCTTGGTTGCAAATACTTAGGATTCAATTAGACTGAAAACAAAAATAAATGTGGTTTTTTATGGTAATTTTAAGCTGCCATCTAGTTACTTTGTCCAATCTCCATGTGTAAGTAAGTCAGATATCTCCAAAACTGGACCTTTCAAGTTTTGCCATCTTTAAAATAAACATTTATGTTAAAAAAATTAACTCAGTCACACTTTGAGCTTCAAAAAGTGTCCATTTTTCAGGTCAGCAACTTGATATGCATTTAAAAGCCTGTTAGCAGAAATGCAGTTTAAGAAACAATCATAATTTTTCTGAACCAGGTTTACAACTGGTATTTTTAGCTGCAGTAATTGGGACAAATTACAGCTGATTCGAGGGCACCTTCAGCTAATCCAGTCCTGCACCAGTCATGATTTTTTTCCACTGTGTTTCTCTAAACAGCATGAAGAAAGATGAACAAGACTCTTAAATGATTGCTGAAATGTTGATGTCAATAATGCATCTCTCTTCCGTTGCAGAAATTGCACCAGAATATATTCGGAACATTTAATGAGGGGACCGCTTGAAAAATCTTAAAGTCTGGAGTAAAACATTTCTATTGCTACGTGCAGCACCTTTAAAAATGTGGAAATAGTTTTACTATAAATGAGGAAATGAATATGAAATAAACATTAAGGATAAATACTAGTACCTGCTGCAGCTCGCTGTCATTCCGAGTCTGTGTTGTGATCCTCAGCAGCTCCTCTTCATGTTTCTGAATCTGTTCCTGGAAACGAACATCCTTCTCACACACTACAATCTGCAGCTTCTGCAGCTGCAAACAAAAAGATCGAATCAGTTACGAACAGCACCTGATACGAGTCACATAAAAACAATAGTTGAGGACTTTTGAATCACCTGTTCAGCATGGGCAGCCCCCTTCTCTTGAAGCTGCTGCTCTGTAGCCTGAAGTTGCTCCTTAAGCTTCTTGTTGTTGGCCTCCTCTTCACTCAGCTTGTTCTTCAGCTCCTGCAGCTCCTCCTCGACTGCAGCACCAGCTCCTGTAAATGAGCTGTCTGGACTCTGCTGCAGACAAACAAAAGTTCAAGTAAGAGCTTGAAACATCAAATAATACATAAGAAAAAGTAATTTTAAAATCAAACTCACTGCTCCTCCTCCTTGTCCTTTCAGTTCAGTTATCTGTTTGTTGAGTGAGGCCATCTTGGCTTTAGCTTGGAGTTTGAGCTTAGTGAAGCGAGCCTCGGCTTCTTCTTTCTCAGTCTGTGGACGCGAAGCAAAACACACTCCAGCTATGCACACACGCTTACAGGGAACATACTGGTTGGACACAAACATGAAGGGTTTGTTTACCTTGAGCTGTGCATCTTTGTTGGTCAACTCCGTGTCCTTCTGCGCGAGCTGTGCGTCTCGGTCTCGGATGAGCTCCTTCAGCTGCACCACCAGTTGTTCCAGGTGAGCCAGTCTCTCCATGGCGTCCTCGGGGACCTCGGAGTCCACCGAAACGTGGCCCTCACCGGAAGGGAGCTGTGGCACCAGCGTGCCCTGTACAAAGCAAGGATTACACTTAGATCCAAAAGAATTTAGAGTAAAACAAGATTTAGAAAAATATACAGAGGTTGCATTCATAGAAAATATTTGATTTGACCGAATCCTCATTTGAAGGTGTTTAAAGTTTCATGTACTTAACAATAAACTAAAGTTTAATAATCATGTAACTCACTTCTACAATAATCAGACTTCTGCAACATAAATGGAAATCAGATGCAAAGATATTTTTGATTCTGCTGCTTTGGTTTTTGAGTTATGCAAAAGTGCTTTGTTGATTTTGTGAAATTTAAGAGCTATTTCTTAAAAAAAAAAAAAAAAAAAATTGTTTTACACAGGCTTCCAGTTTTAATTGAATTCTCCACATTCTTATTTAGAAACGGGACCGAGCTGATGTTAGGAGTCACCTAATCATAGTCTCACCTGTTGGTTTCCATCTGCGCCCTCCTCTCCAGAAAGCTCCTGGAGGACTGTGGCCAGACGGCTCAACATAAAGACGGGACTGTGAGGAGAAGGGGAGAGAAGTTTGCTTCAAAGCAAATGTTTACAACATTACCTTCCTTTCCTAATCTGTGTAGTTACCAACTTTCACCTGTAAGAATGAATTTAAATGTTACATAGAAGGAAATAGTTAAACATGTCCACAATTCAGACTGTTGCACCTACAACTCAAACTCGTATTATGAATAGCTCCCTTCCTGAGATAGATAACTTTACTAAATGGCATTTATGATGAATGTGAATGTTTCTGTTCAGCGCCCTGAGATGACTTCTGTTGTGACTTGGAACTATATAAATAAAGTGAATTGAACTGAAGCACATTCTGTGAAACTGTGACTATAAACATAACCCTGAGCATATTTGTTTTATTTTGCATGCAGGCAAAAGAGCTTTATTGTTTTAGCAGGAATTAACTTTAATCTCCAACTGTTTGTCCTGCTGTACAATGATTGTAGAGAACAAGAAAACCAAAGGGGATTTTTTTTTTTTTTTTTTTAGTCAACATAGAGGAGAAATATCTGAAAATGTCTACAAATGACAATGACATTAACGCTTGTTTAATTTCAACAAGTCAAAACTTTGTTTTGTTTTCTGCTGTGTAAAGTGTAGAAACAGTGGGTTCTCCGGAATTGACCGAACAGAGCCGACTCTTTCCGAATCTGCGGGACTCTCCACTGCGCCTGCGTCAATCCTTTTAGTGGGCAGAACAGATTATGGCTAGCTAACGCGAAACGTACGATAAACTTCCCGAGCTGCTGGATGTTCCTGTTTTTAAGGCGCAGCAAACTAAAGGTGGAGAGACGGTGGTGGGGACGCGATGCTCCGTGAAAACAGTCGTTGTTTACCGTGACTGCCGTTTCCAGGATACACCGTTAGCCGAGGCTACTTTAACTAGCTGGCGATGTTGAGGACAGCGTCTTTGAGCCTCGCTGCGTTTTTCCTTCCCTCCGACATGACAACAGTTTTCTGCACCGCGTTCAGCACCGTAACTGTGAAGGCAAGTGTTTTTGACTCACCTGTGTGAGCTTCCGTCAAGTAGATGCCTCTGCTTGTATTTTTCTTTGCATGTATTTCCTCGGATGGATTTCAGAGCCACATCACCAAACACTCCCGGAAACAAAAGCTTCCTGCGCTCTGATTGGACAGCCAGGATCAGCAAGGGGCCGTCTGCAAATTTAAAGGCGTCCACTCCGTTTTAGGGAGGGTCTGCGTAAATACATCCGCTTTAAAAAACGAAAAATGACCAACTGATTTGTAAAACACGCAATTTGGATGTTATAACTCTGGAAGATAATTTTAATAATGGGAAGACATGAGAAAAGAGTCAACCTGATCATCAACCATGGCAAGCAGCTGGGGAGGAGTCTGCTCCTTCTGGCCCATTACACCACTGTTTTTGTGGGGTTTGTGGGACGCTTTGCTCAGTGGATGGTGGGCGCAGTGAAGTGGACCAGCATGTTTGCACGCTGCACCACTTCAGCTTTTGACTTCATCTATCAACATCTGCACTGGAGGAAGAGGAGCATCAACGTCGGCGCCAAGATCTGCCCAAGCTCGGACATGAAGCCACAGTGACTTCATGAGTTTTAATGCCTTTTTAAACTCTCGCATTGGCAGAAGCTCAAGGAAAGCTAAATATGATGGTGACAACTGAAAAAAGGAAAATGAGGCCTTATTTAAGACATTTACATTTTAAGCTTGTAAAATGTAGTTATTTTGTGTATTTGTGTGCAAGAAAAACTGCAAAATGTTATGGAAGTTGACATGCTGTGGCCAAATCATTTGTCATACCTGCTGACTTTATGTGGAGGTCTGTCACAGGATATTGCAAACTAGAGTCCAATATTTTTCTAAATGACAATGATGCACTACGGGAGAGAAATTTTCTCCCCGATAAATAGACCTAATCATATTTACAGATTTTTGGTAAACGCTTAACTATGAGCATGTACTCTTTTTTGTGTTTGTGGTTACTCCAAGTCGAGTATGACTGTCCTCCGTCTTGGTCCTTGTGGATTTCAGGTGTGAAAAGGCCAATCCTGTAAGCTGCATATTTCCGTGCAGTGTGGACATGGGTGGGTTGAGGTTTGGGCCTTTTGGGGAGGGAAGTCTTGAGATTGTCATCATTGTATGTTCCCATACAGTGGTGGAATTAGTTCTCTGCATTTAACCCATCACACGAGATACACCCAGGAGGAGCAGTGGGCAGCTATGTAAGCACCCCGGGAGCAATTGGGGATTAGGTGTCTTGCTCAGAGATACCAAGACATGCAGCTGGTAGTCGAACCAAGACTTTCTGGTCCCCAGTCGGCTGCCTCTACCCCACCCCCATTTTGGTGGTGGCTCTCCATCTAGTTTCTGTAACGCTGCTTCAAAGTACTAAACTAACTTGTATATGCACGATATTGGATTTTTGGCTGATATCCGATATGTTAAAACTTATTTGGCCGATTGATACCAATACCGATATTTTTCCCCTAGACCTGCTTACAGAGACTACATAGCCTTTCTCTGCTGTGGAATTAAAATGCTACATTATTCTGCATGGACTTTGTCAATTTGGCCTGCTACCAAATGCAGATGCTGAAAAGGGGCTGAAAATGATGCAACACTACATAAATATAAATATAAAAAAAAGCGCCTTTTATATCTGTGAGCTATTTTGATGGAATGTCCGATATTTAACTTTATCGCTAATACCGGCCGATAATATCGTGCAGCTGTACACTTTAACATTCATGGCTTTTATTTTTGTTTTATATTATGCAAGTTTTATTTTAGTTAAATTCTGTATTAATATGAACATTTTAAATGTTCATCCCAGCTGTGCATTTAATGTATTTTACATGTCAAATTTTAAGAAGTTGCTAATCGATAGAAAATCATAACCTTTGAATACAGCATACATGTATGTACAGTATTGTTTGAAGTTATTTAAAAGCACTTACATATTTTACGCTGCTTATGCTGAGATCAAAGCTTCTCGAGGTGTTTTGATCCCATTTTCATTAACTCACTCTGTAAAGACTTTAAGTCGGTGGTATTCCAATAAATGTCTTCACTAATCTTCAGTGATCTTGTCCATCTGCAAAATCAAAACGTTAAGCTGTAAATGACTTGGGACCTCAAAGTTATTAAATTACTTATTTATTTTTAGATTTAACAAGGTGGAACTATTTATGGACCATTTCATTTTGTATTTTATGCTTTACACTCAAAAACGATGCAATTTGGGCAGCTGATAATCATAAACGTAGTGTTTATTAAATAAAGTGGTTGCAGATTATATTTCTATTAACCAGCTTCACTCATTTATACACAGCATTACTTTTTTTAATGAACCACACCTGCTTTAATTAGATGTACGCAAATAGGACAAATTATTTTAAAAACATTTTGTCCGTTTTAGTTTTATCATATGCGCCAAAAATTGTTCCCCGTCTGAATTGACCTTTGAGTGGCTGTGGTATGGAATAAAAGTTTATATTTTTTTAAACAAATCCACCTTAACCAGGTCAAATCATAGATAAAAGAACAGTTATTTTAACCTTGCATTGAAAACACCAAATTTATTGTTTTATTCAAAGGTTTACACAATATTGGATTTTTATTTTGTTCGTTTTATTAGTCGATTAGTCATCTTCAGTCTAAATTATGTGCAAGAAGGATGTGCACATTCTGGTGGGTGCCCGTCTTTAATCACATCTGCAGCTCCACATGCAGAACGATGCTTCTGATCAGGTACGGTGAATGTGCCCGCATGTGTTTGCACGTGAGAGTTGAAAGCAGCAGCATCCTTGTCAGCACCTCTCAGGGTAAACAGAACAGTCAACCTGTCCTTTTAATGGAGCGATTAAGATAATTTACTTACAAGTTTACAGGGATTAAAGCCAGATTAAAGCTAATGAGAACAACAGGGGGAGGGAGTGGAAATGCAGTGAACTACAAAAGGTCTGGACCGGCTGATGCTCTCATCCTAAGAAGGTCCCAGCGTTGAGTGACTGTGAACGGGAACATCTTCCGCTTCACAGTAGACCAATTGGACGACGAGGTCTGTGCTCCATTTGCGCCTTCAGCTGCCGGAGAGATGGGGAACTCGAATGGCTGCACCGTGGACGACCTGCAGGCTGTGGAGATGCACCTGTGGTACAAGAAGTTCATGACGGAGTGTCCCTCGGGCCAGCTCACCCTGCACGAGTTCAAGCAGTTCTTCGGGCTCAAGGGTCTGGACCAAGAGGCCAACGCCTACATAGAGCAGATGTTCCGAACGTTTGACATGAACAAGGTAGGATCAGCGAGTAATTATCAATTTTAGACTGCTAATCAATTATTTTGATCCACTAAGATTGTATGCAAAATATGCACATTTGTCCCTTTTAACCTTGACATCAGTCTTTTAGAGGCATTTGAACTTAGTATAAACAAAAAGTACATGAAGTACAATAAAAGATAAATGTTGGAGCTCATATATTTTTTTAAATCATGCACTTATTTGCAGCACAATCAATAAAAGTGTTTTGTTTTTCAAGTTGAGTCTTATTTTTATTCTACAACATGGATTTGTTGCCATTTAAAGGGTAATATTTTGGGATAAAAGATCAAGTAACAGGTTATTGTTACTAATATTTTTACTCTATTAAACATAGTGTCATCTTTTACTTCACTCAAATGTTTAGGATGTTCAAATGTTCAGCATGGTGCAGGGTTGTCTTTGCCTAGAGACTGGTTGACAATGATAAAATGTTTTTTTTTAAATCAGCTAATTCACTAACACAGTTCTAGTATCTCAAAGGGTTGAAATATCGGTGTAGACTGCTGGATGGTTTAAAGTACTGTGTGTGACAAAAGAAAGCAGAGAAACTATTAAATCAAAACTCACGTTGGCTCAGCCACCTTCAAAAGTCCCAGTTTCCTTCTCAGATCAGTTTAATTGGGAGCATCACATCATTGCAGGGTTTCCATTTAAGACGCTATATTTATTCATTTCCTGGTACAACAAAAGGCCACTGTAATCGCTGTGCTGGACAAAAAGATTATCTTTAAGTCGATGCTTTGATGCTGGGGTTGTTAGTAACAGACAACTTCTAGAGATAATCCTCTGTTTTGGTACAGGAAGGAACAACAGACGTGGATTACCATGGTTTACTCATTAAAACTTTAAATGTCTGAGCAGGTTGTGCATCATAGTTGGCACAGTTCTGACCTCTTGGTTTCTGCAGGATGGCTACATTGACTTCATGGAGTACGTGGCCGCTCTGAGCCTGGTGATGCGAGGGAAGATGGAGCACAAGCTGCGCTGGTATTTCAAGCTCTACGACGTGGACGGAAACGGCTGCATCGACCGGCACGAACTCCTGAACATCATCAAGGTAGATGACGTCACGCTGCATTTTCATTACTCGTCCTCAACGCAGCAAGCTGACTTTCTCCTCCTCCTCCTCCGCCAGGCCATCCGTGCAATCAATGGGGATGAAAATCAGGAAGCAACAGCAGAGGAATTCACAAACCGCGTCTTTGATAGGATTGATATAAACGGAGATGGTGAGTGTGTGGAAGCACGGGTGGGTGGACGATGTTCAGAAATTTAAATCCACTCTGAAAACAGAAACAAAGAGGTGGGGTGGACAGCACAGATTAAATGCCAAATAAAACCCACTATATTTAAACAATAAAACTTAAAATGTTCTGGTTAGCAACCATTTATTGTTGAAGACTATAGTTATTAGCATTTTAAAGGGCAAGTCATTTTGCTAAACTTTTATAAGATACATTACGTTCATGTTTTAACAGTTACATTTTAGATCTATAAAATTTTATGTTTTCTCTTTAAACATTTTGACAGTTGTCAATTCAACACTTTAATTTCTTCAAATTCTAAAAAGTTTTTGGGGGCTTCAGTTTATGACTTTTATTTAATTTTTTACAAATGTGATTATCTTGTAACTAGGATATGAAGTCACCGTTCAATTTTTCAACTTTGAGATTTGCTCAAATTTCCCAAGAGAAAAACATTTCACCACACTTTTGCATTCCCAGTTTTATTTCTAATCACTTGCACTAATATTTGAGAGCAGCTATGAGCTGTAGCTGGTATTAAATGAGTTGTTGGTACATCGCACTGCAGCTTAAAGAAAGTGTAAAAATCTGGGATTAAAAGTTAAATAAAACTCATGTGAGTTGTATACTATAAATATGACATCGAGGTCTGCCTTTTTTTAAACTGTATTTAATTGATTAGGTTTATTTAAAAGTCCGTCTAATAGTGAAGTCAAAAGAAATATTAGAAACAGTTGTGAAATTTTATATTTGTCAGTGTAAAATAAATATGTCTGTCTTAATACTTGGTCATGTTATGACTAAAATAAAACAAAAAGGAAAGAAATCAAACTTATATAAAAAAAAAAGCTTAAACAATTGGATAATTTCTTAAACTTTTAAGAGGGGAGCGCACATTTAAACAAGTAGTTAGGGTCTGCACCAATTCTATTAACTAAAAAACATAATTTAAAATACATAAAAATGTTTTAGTGCTGTGCTTAATCTCAACTATTAATGCATTCGTAGTAGTTGATCTATACGTTATTAATTTTTTACTAATTCTGCTCGTTAAAACAGGTGAGCTGTCTTTGGAGGAGTTTGTAGAGGGTGCACGCAGTGACGACGACTTCATGGAGGTGATGATGAAAAGTTTGGACCTTCGCCACATTGTGACCATGATCCACAGCAGGAGGCACAGTGTTTAGGATCTGTACGCTAATGAGCTGATCCCTGATTTGACCCGAGTGATTCAGAACGCTGCCTCTGGTAAAACAAAAAAATAAAAAAGTATTATATATAGCGAGATTTCTATTCAGATTGAAACCATCTTAATGTGATGGCAGCAATATCCTGAGTTAAATCTCCAAAGGACTGACACACGTGCACTTTAAATGGGCTGACTCATTCAAGCCTCAGACTGGTCATTGTCCTTGTTTAATGATGGTGAGCTCTCCCAAGGCCACCCTGGCATGAAGGATGATCCCTCAGACGGACGCCCTGAGGGATAACGGAGATAATAGAGCCCAGTGCCAATTACACACACCCAACTGCGCTTCACATTCATTTCTTCACATCTCGGTTTATTTGCTCCCACCTGTTGGATTTACAGGAGACTCTGCAGAGGGTTGAACATCCCGTGATAATTCGATCAAACTGTGACTGTAAAACAGGTACAGCTGACACGAGTGTGTTAATATTTCTCTTTTTGTATCTTCCAGTCTTTTATATGTAATATAATAAGAAATAAGAAAATAAAGGCTTATTTTGCCGCATTTTTGTGTGGGTGTACTTCTTGGCTTCTTATGCATTTTGTTGGAAGACTGCAAAAAAAAAAGGGTTGGAGTCAGTATGTTGCTCATTTCATACTTAAAATAATAAAAATGCTAGACTGTGACTTATTCTATTTAACTGCATTAAATGTGTTTATTTTACTAAATCAATTTTAAATGTACACGACAGATCTGCAAGGAAAGTAACTTGGAAATGCTTCTCAACGTGTTTCATACAATATAAACTGTTAAAGCTTGGGTAAGGTTTATTTAATGTAAATGAAGAGGATATTGTTGCTGCCTAAACTGGCTTGTTCGTGATTCTGCTGCTAAAATGGACTTAGCATCCTCAACTGTTTTGGGCAGAAGGGTAATCCAGCTAAACTGGAAATCTGCAGCTCCACCTACAAATACAAGCTTGATGAGGGAAGTCTTGTTTTCTCAAATTGAAACATATGCAATGAGTATAGAAGTGTAATTACAGTCCTTTGGTTCATCTCTCCTCCCTAGTGGTAAGAGTCGGGGTGTTTGTTTTATATTGTTCATTTAAAATATTAAACGTTAATTAGCATTTTGCAACTTTTACACAAATTGTAAACAAATTGTTGTTTTGTATTCACAAATGTACAATTTGAATTGAGTGCAAAAACTACACTTTTAAGGTTTCCTTTTAGAACAAAGCCAGTAATAAAAATGTTCTTTGTGATCCTCAAAAAGCCGTCTCGCTTTTCAAACATAAAACGATTTGTAAAAATACCAAATTAGCTGCTGCTCTAAATTTCCATAAACTGAAGGTTAAATAATATAGACTTTATGGATTTATATGGTATCCAGTCTCCTGAAAAGCCTACTGAAGACTTTTTAATGTAAGAGTTACAAGGCCGAGACAAAAAAACTAAGTAGGAAAAATTAAAATAGTCCATTAAGACTTTGTTTTGCCCTAATCTTATATCTATTGGGGGTGGGGAATCATGTTTGCTGTGCTTAAACTAAAAAAAAAACTAAAAAAAAACAAACACATTTGCTCAATTTTAGCACCATCTTCTTCAGTGCAGAATTCCAGCAGAAAAAAAACCCCAAAACAGATAAATATCTGCCTCTGAGCAAGGACGGTGATTCACCTTCATGTTGCAAAGATCGCTGCACATCAGGAAAAACTCCAGAGGCACCGCACTCATCTTCATTTGCATTATTTAGCACCAGATTATTTGTATGTATTCCTCCATTATAGGTATGATAAAACATACAAGAAATTTGAACTGTAATAAGGCTCTTATTAAGCTTTTTAAAAAATATATAAGTTAAACCTATATGATAAAACTAAAGGAAGCAGTTAAATTTGTACAAATGCAAATATTTGAAATGATCAGAGGCACAGCTATCAGCCACAAGGGGGCAGTGACATTATCAGATTAACTCCCCTCCTTATAACAGACTGTTTATTCTGCCAAACACTTGTCCTTAAGTGCTTTCTTGCAGGAATAAATCTTGTTTTATCTTACCGTCACTGTGCGTCATCTCTTCTCTGCGCACCGCAGGCTCACAGGAAATCATACAGATACTTCACAATATCAAAGTTCACAGTCCTGGAAGATAAATCACACCAAGCACGTTGTCTGTGAGACGCTGGACAAGGTCAGTTCATTTAAATAATTTAGCCAGTCTCAGTCGTGTGATAACAGACAGCCACGCACACACACTTACCTGGATATGGCAGAAATGAAGTCCAGAGAAACGGCACATTTATACTTTGGAGCATCGAGCTGGTCATCATGGCTGACCTTAACCAGCAGCTGTAAAGTTACCAAGGAGGAGATCTGAACGGAGAAAAAAGCAAAATGATTCCTGATTCTATAATGGGCAGCTGGTTGGTTTTACTGCAGAGGCACTAAATGTTGAAAGGAAACAGTCCAGATACGAGTTAAGGATAGACCCCTTTATTATTAAAGCCCTGGCTCTATAGAGTGGTGCCTGAATATTTGTGAAGCCTTTTAGCATTTTCTATATTTCTGCATAAATATGACCTAAAACATCATCAGATTTTCACACAAGTCCTAAAAGTAGATAAAGAGAACACAGTTAAACAAATGAGACAAAAATATTACACTTGGTCTTTTATTTATTGATGAAAATGATCCAATATTACACATTTGTGGGTGGTAAAAGTATGTGAACCTCTAGGATTATCAGTTAATTTGAAGGTGGTAATAAAGTCCAGCTGTTTTTGTCTTGAACAGTTTTGAATTTGTCCTTAAAGCCACGTTTACCTATTATATGATTCAACGGCATGCCCTACTACTCTGCTGCCATCTAGTGGTTGAAAAATGGTAGTGTTCTTTTTATTTTCAGTCAGAATGATTAAAACAGTCATATCAGCCAAAAATTGGTTTATAAATATGGGAAAAAAAATCCATAAATACGTTGCTTCAGCGTATAGGTCGCAGGGCATGCAAATTACGCAAAGAACTGTGACTTATAGGGTGAAAAATACGGTAACAATAAAAGCAGAAAGAAACACAATGTCTCCAAGCATAATTGGTAACTAAAAGAAGGTAAAAATTGTTTTTATTGTATTAAGCAGCTGGAGTCTGACCTGGGAGAAGATGCTGGCAGTCGGAGCGACTCTGCTGTCCACGACGCTGTAGAAAATGGCAAGCAAACGGTCCAGAGGAAAGGGCTTCGGCCCCAGAAGGTGATTACTTGTCTAGAAAAAATATGTATAAGCATCATGTTAGGCTATAACTTAATCTCTTTGTATATAAAATACTGGACTGAAAGCAAGGTAAGGTTAGAGCAATCACCTTTTCATTTTTCTTCAAAAAGTTAGTTTTTTTAATTTTGCCATGATGCTGCGGAGCACAAAGAGAGGGAAATTACATTTAATAATTAAAGCAAATAAGGACAATTTAACAACATCTTCCATTAGATCACCCTGCAGAGACAATACATTTCCAGTTATACATACAAGTTGTTGGAGATAAAATTAATCTACCTTCACAAAGAAGCGTTTATCTGTGCGGGCAGGGTTGTAGGAGGCCAGATAGGCAGCAATCAGCAGAAACTTGGAATAATAAGGAAGTTCAACGTGAGTGTGAGCCGACAAACCTTTGAAGAGAAAATAAAAGTGATAAACCTCACACTTATTTATAGCATTGTTTGACCTCATGGACTAAAATATAACTGCAAAAAGGGTCTGTGAAGCTCAGAGTGTCGTCACTGAGTGCAACAGGGTTTTATGTGTTAGCACCTCTCATGGCTCCCGTCTCGTCTTCCTCCATCTGCTGCATCTGCTCCCACTGAACACTGCAGGAAGAGAAAACACTCAGGGCAAAACGACAAAGGCTGCTCCGATCCGTTTAAAGACTGGACAGAGATTATTTACATAGACAATTAGTTAACTCTCAGACCTGGACACCTCTCGGAGGTAAACTGTCTGCATGGCCTTTTTCAGATGAGGCTCGATATTTTTCCACAGCTTGTGTGCGTCAGTCTCTTTCACTAAATGTACATTTCCACAGGGAGAACATGTGTTTATTAATGTTTTATACATTACATTTAAATCAGCAAGTAAATTAAAAGGAAAAATCAACAAAAAAGACAAAAGTTGTTAAAAAAAAAAACAGAATTTGGACTCAAACCTTAGTTTACATTCACAAGAAAGTAGGGATGCACGATATTATCGGCATGGTATCGGCCGATATTAGCAATAAAATTAAATATCGGACATCGGCCATTCCATCAAAATAACTAACCGATATGAAAGGCGCTGTTTTTTTAAAATATATATAAGTATATGTTACATCATGCAGAATAATGCAGTACTGCATATCGGATATACAGAGAGGAAAATAAGTATTTGAACACCCTGTGACTTTGCAAGTTCTCCCACTT